TTGCGAAACGAGAGAGGTGATATAATTTTTGCCGGATTTCTACGAAATAATTATTGCAATGATATAAGATATGATGTTAACGCGACAAGATTTATTGCTTCTTGTTCGATTGATTATCGTTGGTCTGTATAATTAATGTTGGTGGTCTCCAGGTAAAATTATCTGGTAATAACAGGTAATCAACGGTTCTCTAATTGCACTTATATTTAAGTTATAGTATTGCATGATAAATTAGTTTCATAAGGCGAAGTATAATCTATTCTGTGCATAGTTGAAGAAAGTTAGAATTCTTGAGAGGTTTGAGAAATATTAAAAATTACATTACATGTTCGTGGAAAAATTGGTAAAATTTTATCAGAAGTAATTGAATGATATATAAGGTATAAAGAAAGTTGATCGAATTGATCGAGACAATATAAATAATATGATCGCATAATTATTTTTCTTTTAACGTAAAATCAGCAATGAAATTTTCTGATAAGAATATTTTAAAGATTTTATAACTGCACGATATATTAAACTCGATTATTTTAAGTAACGTTTATAGTTACGATCAAAAGTTATTCGAAGGAATATTCTCATTTCTACGAAGAGATAAAGATACGTGCAACGTTTACCTAGTTCCACGAATGACGATCGTGTTACATAATGCAACTGTTTTGTTTTCCAGAACAACACTACGCGGCTGCCGATTCGAACAGTTCGACGCCCGCGAAGAGTTTCGTGGCCTGTAGAGTTTGCGGTGACAAAGCGAGCGGTTATCATTACGGTGTAACCAGTTGCGAGGGTTGCAAAGTGAGTATAACGAAGTAATGGAGTTCAAATCATTTTTTACCACTTTCGAAAATTTTTCTAAATTTTTTATCTTTGAAATCTTGAAAGAATTTGAAGATTTAAGTATTTGAAAATTTGGAAATTTTGGATCAACTGAAAATTGAAAAATTTAGAAATTTCTATGTATGAATATTTTTTCAAGAATTTAAAAGATTAAGTTAAGTTTTTAATTTTAAAATGTGAAAATGTAAAATTTGGAATTTAGAAATTCTTTAATTTAAAAAATTCGAGATTTTATAATTTTTGCTTTCGAAGATTCAAAGACTTATCCGATCAAATATACCATATCACGACTATTAAATGGAAGAAATACTTTCAAAGAACTTTCTATACTATCTATATTTTAAGAAACGTAATTATATACTATAAACTTTTCTTTATCTCCAAGTACAATTCGTGCAAGATCTCCTTCGATGCATCGTTTCCTGCGAGAAAGTTATTGCCATTATAAATACAATTCTTCTTCCTCATCGAGTCTGTGCACATTATTGATATCGATTATTTTCAATCAATTCTCTTTTAACTTCTTTCCTTTCTTCTTTTCTTATTTTTTCCTGTGTTACTTTTAACTTCTTGATTTCTCCTTTTTTTCTTTCTCTTTTATATCTTTTTCTCAATTTCTATTATATTATTTTATTTACTATTATTTTATTCCTGAAGAAGTTATTTTTTTCTTGAAGAATGATTTGCAAATTTTTATTTTCATTTTTCAATAACTTTGTCCCATATTACATTATATTCTTTCCATCATATTTTTATCTTTCATTTTTTTATTTCTGGACCAACATGTGATTTCATCTCTGATGTAATCTCTTCGTACTCACCTTCTATTTTCTTTTTGCAATATTACCATCTTTTTCCTTTTCATCTCTTTTCATATTTTCTCTCACCATCTTTTTCACTTTATACATATATACTTACATACCTTCCTTTCTGGAATATTTATTCTTTCAATTTTTGTATTCCTTCTTTCTTTCTTCTTTTGTTTTTGATTTATTTTCTCCTATTTTTATTTTCTCTAAATTTAAAAAATTATAAAACAAGAAAAACTTGGAATTTCCAAAATCTTTACCTATATCTGAAGATTTCGTGTGTTGAAAATTGAAAAAAAAAATTTGGAAATTTAAGAACTCTTTAATTTTCGATTCTTACTTTCGTTAGTTTCTCTCCCTTTCTTCATGAATTCTCCGTTTCGGAAACGAAGGAACGATCCTGTCTCATTGCTTTCGATCGGCTTTCGAACGAACTGAAAGAGCAATAAATCGTGGCGGAGAAACGAATTTATAGCCGCCACGATACGACGCCTATGATCGCTCGTATTTTATATGAAACCTTACCGAGTGTACTCGCTTCGACAAAAACCACTCTCGTTAAGTGTGGACTCGAAGATTCGAGCCGGCCAATATTTTTCCTTTTTTGATTTCGCGTTTTCTACTTAATAATATTATTATTATATAATAATATTATCACATTCGTTACGCTATAAAATAAAAACTTTAATCGTATAAATGAAAAAAAGCAACGAAACATTACGAATAACGTGAGAATAAAATTAAAAAAAAAATTTATAAAAAACAAAAAAGCTACGAGTAGAGCAAAGTAGTAATTTTCTTATTTCATACTTTTATCGTATATAAGAAAAATGACTTGAAAGTATCGAGCGATAGTGTATGCATACTTATATTCAAGGTCTTCATTTAAATCGATTCATTCGAATATCTTTAAAATTGTTTATAATAAATATTTTGGACGAAAGTTTCGTGTCACACTGTTAAAAATTATTAAAACAATATGATATATTTTTAATAATATAATATAATTTAATATTAATAATAATATCGTCAATGTTAAAATTAATTTTGTTACGAAAATTCTTTGAATATATATATATATATATATATCTCTTTCCTTGAATATATTCATAAATTTTTTTAAAAGTTGTTTTTCACAAAACATAAATGTTTTAATTGGTTAGATAATCAGCTAATAATAAAATTAGACATGTCTTTAAGTGATAATCAGAGTCAATGTCATAGATAGATAGTTCAATAATTCCAAGGATTTTTCATACTTTGTAATAGTTTGTAATAGTTTTAAAGAAGGCTTTAACTCGATCATTTCAAATTCTTTCAATAACACGTTTTATCTAATTATTCACACTTTAGTCAAATTATCTTTCATATTCCTCTTTTCAAACTCTGAACAAAGATGTAATAACTATTTTTTCGTTTCGATGAGTATGATCAATCAATCAGAAAAATAAAAACATTAAAAAAGATTACAAAAGTTTTCCACGTTAAGAAAGCATTCAAAAAATTCATTGGCAAATATAAACAAAAAAACTTTCTAATCTTCAAAAATTATTATCCAATGTTTACTACTCATTTATTCTATATTGCACGACAATCCTAATAAATAATACCTATTGATAGGCTTCAATTTCTATCGACATCGACATCGAAAATTCATCTTGATGAATCTTCCATAGGCATAGAGAACGAACGAAGAGAAAAGCGAATAAAGCGTAACGATTCAGCGAAATCCTTGATTTGTTTCGTATTTCCCCATGGAGGGAACCACCGTCTCTCCTCGGTGAGGAAGTGCACTTATGGGATCGCGCGATGTGTACGTGCCTTAATCTCGCCGCGAGATGCGCATCCCCCTCAGGTGCTCGGATTGAAACACGGAAGCCTTAAGGCCATGGTTAACGGTGAATTGGTAGATGGTATACTCTCCATAGATCGCAAGCATACACGCATACGTGCATTGCTTTTTGTCGGTAGCCGCGAACATCGATGCATAAGTACGTGCAATTACGTTGAAAGGAGGCAATTTTTTAGTAAGAGTTTTAATATCAGAGTTTGTAACTTTGTTGAAAAATAATATCCATTGAATTGACGCGACGAATTTATCTTGTTCAGAAAAAAAAATACTTGGAATTAGATATATTAGATATATATTTAGGAAAAGATAATTACATCATTTTATGTAAAAACTATTTAATTTTTATCTGAAACGAGGTAAATGTTATAAATTCACGTAGAAAAATTATATACATATAAATAAGTAAAATTAGAATAATTGAATACTAATTGTGTCATTTTGTTCTTAATTTTGCACAATTTTATTGCATTTATATTATTTAGTGTAATCAGATTGTCGTTATGATATTGAATACATTATATAGATAGTCTATTTAATTTAATGATGAGATTTTAAGTGAAATAATTTTATTGTATAGATACAATTAGAGGATCCATTAGTATATTAGTTTATAATCTAAAATAATAATTTATTAAATTTTGCATTATCGTAAGAATTCTACTATTTATGAAAAAGAAAGTGATTATTATGATATACATAAAAGCATGCAGGCACGTTTCCAATATCGCGAAATTAATTTCCTGACTGGAAAACGAACCATCTTTCCACGTATTTCCTTTTTTTTTTTTTTTGCTATTTTTCTTTTTTGCATGATTTATAATTGTTTGTTAGAAAAATGTAATAATTATAAAAAAACGAGTCAAAATTATTAAATGGAGGAAAAAATTAAAATGAAATATTTATTGAATATACGAATTTGATATTTATAATTTAATACAACAATGATTTATAAGTAATCATCTTAAAATTGTTTGCTTCTTATAGTTCTTGAATTTTATCAAATAATTTTTTCTTATTTTTGATATAAAAATTATTCTTTAATTTCATTTTTTCTCAAATTTTAATTTTAAGTTTATTACTTTTCTCTAATCATTATTTTTCGTAGCTATTCGTATTGCCAAGAAAATATTAGTAGATAAAAATATTGAGAGAAAAATGAATAATAACATTGATTCAGTGTAAATTCCCATTTCTATGAATTCTCAAATAACTTTTTTTTTTACATAGGTTGGATTCTATTGGAGATTGATGCAATAGAATTCGAACTAAACTTCGTATGCCATTTAACGCGCTCAATATATGAATTGAAATAAATGGAAAAAAAACACGCGAAAGAATCGCGAATATGTTCTATCGTTTCATCGTTCGCGAATTCAAACGAAAAAAAATTGAATCTGCAAAAAAAAAAAAAACTATGCTATTACAACATACCATATTTTTATTGAATCAATTTCTCCGATTGAACGATTTCGAGTAACGGATTCGATAAAACGGCTAATCAACGTCAAAACTATTTCCACGCGTAAAAATATTTATAATAACAAAGAAAAAAAAAAATTGTGAGAAAATTAACACAACAAAATCAATAAGAGATATTTCGTGTGTAATGCATACTATATATTTCACAACCTAATATATATGCACATTAGTCATCGATTATTCTAATGTTCAAAGTAAAAAGAAAAAAAAAATTCAACTGTGGCTGAGCATACACCGACCCTTTCTACTGTGCTGCATTTATCCTCATCTATCTAACAACCTGCTCCGTAAATCTTTAAATCAAAAAATATCCACGTTACACGCAACGATTGATCGTTGTGAACGCTTGACATTTACATTTATCGCAAACCCATTCGCGAGAAAACACACACGTACACGTATGCGTATAACTTTAAACTCATGCTCCAACTCTTAATTAACAGTCGCCAATATTTCGAATGGATTGAAACATCGTGAAATATATATTTTTAAACCATTCGATAAACCATTCGATTCACTATAAACGAGTTAATCTCGAATCGTTGTTGTAATAATAATTTAACCATTGCCCCGTAATAATACCCATTATAAATGCGTAACGAAAATTAATTAATCAGTTAGCCCGGAACGCTTTGAATTGGCACGCCTAATGCCGCGTTTCCAATTTCCAGTACCACGGAAGGTTGAACGTATTTCAGGAGGGGGGGAGAGGAGTTAAACGATTCTCGTCTTGTCTGATTAAATTTAAGCCTTACCACTGGTCATCGAGCGCCAGCCCCTCTTTAAGCCTGATTTATCACGCGTTGTTCTACTAGCCGATTAGTCCCTATCGAAATTCCACGATGGATTAATTGATATACTTGGAATCGATGATTTATAATGAATCAGGAATAACGATAAAAATTGCAATAAGATGATTCAACATGATTTATATGAAGTGTCTTTTTTTTTTATTTGATTTATATATATATATATACGAAATCTATCTAATTTTAAAATTTTTGAAATCAAATCATGTTTTTTGTCTCAAAATTTGTTTGTAAATTAAGAAATATTATTCCTTTTAAATATTAAAATTTAGATATGACATTTGATTTGTTTGAAATTTATTTTATTTATTGGATGACTTTAATAATCGATTCATAAACTATGATAAAATATAAATCTGTTCGAAATTTTATAACTATCTATTCTATTTCTTATTATTTTCTTTCATCATTAATATTTCGGTTGAATGAATAAAGATCATCTTCTTGAACTTTCTTCACGATAGAAAAAAATAGATATTTTATTAATAAGGCTATACGATCGAAGTACGAGTTAGTTTAATAAAATTTCATTTAGAAAATCATTATTTCCTTTGATTTTATATATTCCTTTTATTTTATAAAAATATATATTTTATTCGTCCCGCAAAATTTCGAATAATTTCGTCGCAAAATAATAAACCAAACGAGTGAGTATGAATCAATTCGTAAATAACCGTTGCCCAATGATAATGCATCCATTTGGAAATTAACTGGTGGTCGAAATAAAATCGTTATTATTGTTTCCTAATGCGATGGAAAGCCCGATCCGATTACAATTTCGATTCAAGCGGACCGAAAATGGTGACGCGTGATTTAAACGAGGAAAATTCGTGCGTACATTTGTGTTGCTCTCTTGTGTACGCGAGCAAACAAATTCAATAGGGCTTCTTTGCAAGCGGAATTTTGTTTGTATCGGTGAAAAAAAGGAATCGTAATTGATTAAAATTTGTTTCTTATTAAACATAATCAATAAATCTATAATTGTATTCTAAAAAAAAAAAAAAGGTTTAAAATTTAATATTGAGAATTATATATCATTGTATTGAAATTTAAAAAATTTAAAAAAATAGAAGCATATCCTAAAATTTTTGCAGATTCTTTACAATTTATTATTTTTTGAATCTTATATCAATATTTCAGATATCTTGATATACTCTTTCATTTAAATATATATCCTTTCATCAAAACGATCCTTTTCCAAAACTTGGATTCATTCGACATTTTGATTTACGTTTCATGAATTTTATTATCGGAAAATTATTGAAATCAGATATTGAAAATTAACTTCGAAAATTTTGCGTATTAAAGATCAATTTCCCTATATTATTGTATTCACACATTTCTATTCTATTATACATATTCCAATCTTCCATTGTACATATTCACAACGATCAATAATAATCCTATCTAACAAATTTATTCCTAATCTACATTTCAAGCTTAGAATTTCATTATCGGAATATTGATCGAAATAAAAAATTTGGGGTTACTCACGTAAGGATTAAAAATCAATTTTCCACGCGTTACGATGTCGCAATCCCATTTACGATATTTCTAAAAATCATTTAATCTCGACTTACGACTCGTAGATAAACTAAAACTGAAAATCTGGATACCGGAAGTGTACATTCGAGGACGATTATCCGAGCCATAAACCGATATACACAATGGAACGATATCGATTCCGTCAACGAACCGAGGTCGTGCCACCATATCGAATGCTAAATAGTATTATAGGTTGTTTAGGATACAACTGGACGCTTTCTATCTACCCGTTTCAGGATATCAACCGACAGATATGCGGTCGACGTCGATCGCACAGT